TCTAATGCCTTCTCTTGCTCTTCTCCCTAATAGAACGCCAAATTTTTCTTAATGATGGATGTTAATGGAGCGGAAACTGTTCTGCATTTGGGCACAAATCATTGATAGAAGCCAGACAACACATGAAAACTTCTTACTTCACTCATGTTTGTATGAGTAGGCCATGCTTCAATCGCCTTCACCTTCTCTTCATCTACTTCAAATGCAATAGCACTAACAAGAAAGGCCATAAACACCACACTTGAGGTGAAAACATGCACATCTTGAGATTGGCATAGAGCTGCTCCTTTCTCAAGGTTTCCAATACATTCCGCAAGTGCTTGAGATGCTCCTCCATGCTCTTCGAGTAGATCATAATGTCATCAGAGCAGGCAACCACAAACTTCCCAATGAATGCTCTCAACACGTGGTTCATCAACCTCATAAATGTACTCGGAGCATTTGTTAAGCCAAATGACATCACCATCCACACATTGAGACCATGCTTTGCTTTAAAAGTTGTCTTCCACTCGTCTCCTTCCTTCATGCGGATTTAGTGATATCCAGACCTTGGATCAATCTTTGAAAACATACTAGAACCATGTAATTAATCAAGAATATCATTTAATCGAGGTATAGGATGACGATACTTACCTATTATTTGGTTAACTACTCGACAATCAATGCACATTCTCCACGTATGGTCCTTCTTTGGCACGAATGACAGGAACTACACAAGGACTCATGCTTTCACAAACATTTCCTCTTTCCATAAGCTCATCAATTGGCCTTTGCAACTCCTTTGTCTCCTCTGGATTCGTCCTATTTGATGCTTTATTTAGAATGGTAGCCTCAGGAATGAAGTCAATCTGATACTCTATCTCGCGAATTGGAGGTAATCCCTTTGGTGCTTCTTCGGGAAAGACATCCTCGAACTCTTCCAATACCACTCGAGTAAGATGATATATATAATAGTGGATATAATAGATGATATGAAATGCATGAAATTATTGTTTTCTACCTTAGTTATGCACATAACACTTTTGAAAACGATCAAACTATTCATAATGTGTTTAGACCTCCATGAAAAGTGAAAAAATACATAATATAAGCATTGCATATAATTATTGAATGAAAAAAGAAATAAATATAACTAATTTTCATTCATTACTTAATTAACCCACATAGTTATATTAGAGTTGCTTCTCATAATACATACATAATCAACCTTTAGGATGAAACAAAATGTCTCTCATAGAGTTTAGTATGTCTTTTAAGGTTTTCCCAATATAGAGCATTCTTTTGTACCACATTGTTGGTAATGAATATGAAGTTGTTTGATTTGAAATATATAGGACATGATGCTAACTTGTCGCTAATAGTTAGTTGGACAATGTGTTGTATACGGACTTACCAATGTAGTGATTTTCATGTCTAGCAACAATGTAGTAATTTTCAAGCAACAAATATTTTTTTCATGAAATAATTCAATAAATAAAAACCTATAAATTCATATTACATGAAATGTATGTTACTCATTAAGTTGATGAATGAGCGAGTGTATGAGAAGCATACATTTATTTTAAAAATATAGAAGTTGTAAAGTGTCATTTGGGTTGAATGAGATCGCATATTCTCATGATCACTAACTGACTTATGATTTTTTCAAAATGTGCATTAAAACTTTTATTTCCACCGGTGTAAAAGAATTGTTGGAACCAAAAGATTGTAAAATCGTCTCCAAAAAGTTGGTAGTAGAGTATTAGCCTATGGTGTGAAGTTTTATTGTCGATCCACTGGTACGTATGCTCTTTCAATTCAAACTTTTTAAATAAAAAACCACTAAAATATTAATATTATCAAATACCCCTTAAAACTAAGAAATTACCATAATCGTATTCAGGAATATTCATTCAAATTATAATATAGATTTAGGATTTTAAATTGAAATTAAAATGGAAATTTTTTTAAAATATAATATCTTCTCCTAACATAAATCAAAACTCAACACAAGAGGCCAAGAATACTCACTTAGCAAAATAGAAAGGTAATTATTTCACACTATCTCATTTTCCCCTCTTTTAAGTGTGTTCTCTCACTCTCTCTTAGCCTTGCTCTTTGTTTTTTCGTTTGTTCTTCCATCTCTCTCTCTGATATTTGTATCTCACCACTCTCCCCCCTTTCCCTTCCTCTTTCTTCCCACCGCCTAGAATCGATAGAAATCTAGAAACATCCCAATTATTTCTCCAATTTTTAGTTCGAAAATGCTTCTTTTCCATTCATAGTCGATATTGTGAATCAAAACACCTGAAACCTGGCGAACAGCTGGCCGCTTATTCCTTGATTGAGCAAAGTAGTTTGATAGCTTGTGAATAAACTAATTACTAAAAGTGATAAAAACAGAACTCGTTAAACCAATCGAGTGAGTATTTAGTTAGTTCATCGCTTAAACCATTTTATTTATCTAAAGAAACAAAATGCATAATCAGGTCCATCTTCACTTATTTACATGTATTTGTCGTACAAATTCATTACATATAAAAAATCATTTTGAATCTGCATATCAAACTAAATCTCATCTTATGATGATTTGATCCATACCAGATTAGCAAAAGGTCTAAGGCTATTGGTCAACTAGGCTGAAAATTAATACTTATTTAAGAATTATATATCGCTTCCAAATATTCAATACTCCAATTCAATATCCAATATTCAAACAAATGATATATGAGTTTCAACCCTTTCTCAAAAAATTTAGACAAAAAAAGTCTTCCCCTCCCCCAAACACACACACACTTGCAAAGAAATACTAAATCCCAATTTCTTCTTCACTTTACATACTTCTAAAGTTATTGGTGACGTTGTTTGTTATTACTGCAAGCTATAAAAAAGACTTTTCAGCTATGAAGTTAATTAAGAATGATTTTATACATGAGCGTTTAGTTGTATACATTGAAAAAGGTTTGAGTTTCAAAATAAACAATTAATGTATTTTATAGACCTTTTAGAATCTGAGCCGTCACACTTTGATGTGATAAACTACTCATTAATTCAAATTTTATATGTTATTTTTAGAATATTTTTTTATCAAGTGGTGCATTTTCTCTATAAAACATGAGTTCACCAAACGCGAGCCCTTGAGGTTTAAGTCTGGTATGACCGATAAAGCATTAATGTTTGTACAGGGCCGATCCATATACAATGTCTTCATGATATGCTCTAACTGTGTCATGCCAGCTCGACCATCTGCTTGGGTATAGTTATATTCATTATAATAATTAAGTTTCTACCTATTCACAACACCAAGATAAAAAAAACAGTCTTAAATGCATCTAGTATTAGATTTTGCCTACATGATAAAATACTACATTTGAACCAACTACCACTGATGTCACAAATAATAAGCATACGTCTAAATCATACATAAAATATTTCAAACATCACAAATATTAAAATTAAATTAATTATTATAAAGAGTAAAAATTGTATAATGAGGTTAATTATAACTCATTTATTTGTTAATGCCCTTAAATTGATAAACACATCCAAAAATAGCAAAATGAACATCACATTATACCCAATATTGTCTCATTATTGCCGGCTCCATTCATGCCAGATTAGCAAGAGGTTTAACGTTTAGTAGTTAAACAAGCTAAAATTTATAGAACTAGTCACCTATAGTTTGTAGACAATATTATTGTTTCATAGTAGTTCTGAAAATTTATATTAATTTAAAGAATTCTACATCGCTTTTTCATATTGAATACTGCAGTTTGATATGCAATATTTCAAGCATTGAAATTTGTGTTGCAATTTTAAGATTACCCGTCATTTTATAGGTTATAAAAAATTATAAATCACATATTAAACTTTGCTTTTCAGAAGATTTAATAGGCTAGCTAATGGAATATTCCTCTGCTTTTCAAACTTCGCTTAGTGTATGTTTACAATTTAAGAAGATAAAAAAAAAATTGTTCAGTGTATTGGTTGTGATTATTGTTTTTGTTTGAAGATACCATGGTTCAAATCTTGATATTGGTACTTTTTTATACGAAGTAGATAAATGATAAATAATTGTGATGACAAAAATACTCTTCCTACTTTCACCTCGTTTTACGAAATTTGAAATGGAAAATCTTAAAACATTGAATATATCTTATAGAAAGAGCTTCTTCAACCAAGTAGGAAAGGTATTTTACATGAATTTATTATATCTTATAGAAAGTGATGAATTGTGAAATCGAAACTCAAGTAACATTGATTCAAACATTAAACATTAAATTGTATGTGTAGTTCAGTTTAGACAAAATACATATGTGTTGTCAAAACATGGATCTTCTTGACAAATTTTTTTGTGACAAATATACACATAAATATAAAGATAAATTGGACGCTATGACGAAAAAGAAGTTCGTAGAATCACTCTCAAGCCACAAAATTTGAAAAGAGACTCTCTTTTTCCAATTTTATCATTATATTATGTGTAGATTTGTCACAAAAAATGACTATACTCGTCACAAAGGTCCATATTTTGGTTACACTTAAGTATTTTATCTAAACTAAACTACACATACAATTTCATATTAATGTTTGAATCAATATTACTTGAGTTTCGATTTCAGAACTAATCTCTTTCTATAATATATAAATAACTTAAAATAAAAAATAAATATAGAAGCATCATCACCAACATATTTCTAGAATTTAATCAAAGAAATAACATTTTTCATACTTAAAAATGAACACAAAATTTAAAATTGGACAATTACAACCTATGTTTTGCATTTATATCGGTTATTGAGGGATCACGGTAAGCAACCATACAACAGCAGCCACCGGATAAATTCCTGGCGAATCAGAGTCACCTAATTAGAGGCGATCCCGCTCTCCATTCACCGCTGTTCTGCACATCCCTTTTCCGTCGGAGGAGACTCCCTTGTTCGCTCCTGCTCTCTCTATATTCTCTCATCTTACGATATCTCTAGTTACAGCTTTTCCTTCCCTGAGAAGAACCTAACGTAATGGTGAGTTGTCTTTTCACCGCCTTCATATTCCTACTTCCTTCTACCATTTCAGCTCTTGCTTTCCTAGGGTTTCCGTGATTCTTCATCTTCGATTTCTGCTGGATTATGAATCTCTCTGTGAGAGAGTGCTCCCGTTAGGGAATACTTGTTTCGATCTGGCTGTCCCGAACCTGAATTTCGCTTAGTGTTCGTCATTTCTGCCGCTGCGTCCTGTTTCTCCCGTGAGCTAGTCTTATCCATTGTGTTGACTGTTGAGATCTGATTTGTTCTTCTGCCGTTGTTGGCGCAGATGTTACGGAATTTGTGCTGAATCCTGATTTAATTTGGATTTTTTAAGATATAGTGTGATGATTTGATGCTGTGTTAGCTACGAGGATCAAATTCTCATGTGTCTATAATTTTGGTTATCTGCTTTATTGTTCTGTATCTGTGATCGAGCTGGATCAGTGATCACTTCTGCAACTATTCAACATTTGCTTGTATTGCACTTTTGAGATAGGTTTACTTGGCAGTGTCTCAATTCTTCATTTTTTGATGATCCAGTTTGGGATTCGAGGGGAACTTTGTGATCTATTGTGTTATCATTTTAGGGATTTTCAATATTGGTTTGTTTTCCTCTTGGGATTGGATTTGGTGGCAATTCATGAATTAATCTGATCTGACAGCCCCAACAGTAATTTTCCCCGAATAAGCAGGCTCAACTTGTGATCCCTGTCACAGGGAAGCTACAGTTCGACTGAGTATTGACTATTTAAGGACTGTGTGTTCATGTAACTCTCTAGGCAAATGCAGCATCCGGGATGGCAGTCCACGATGACTGCAAATTGAAATTCTTGGAGCTTAAGGCAAAAAGAACCTATCGCTCCATAATTTTCAAGATCGAGGAGAAGCAAAAGCAAGTTGTTGTGGAGAAGCTTGGTGATCCAAGTCAAAGCTACGAGGATTTTGCTGGTAGCATTCCTGCTGATGAGTGCCGCTATGCTGTTTATGATTTTGACTTTGTCACAGAGGAGAACTGTCAGAAGAGCAGGATATTTTTCATTGCCTGGTAATTTTACATATAGTTTTCTACCACAACAAAGGAAATGGACCGTCTGGCCCATAGGTTTCAGCTAAACCTGTTGGTTATCTGCCTTTTGCTTACTGTAGTAGTATGCTATTGTACCATGAAGGTCTCCTGATACGGCGAGGGTGAGAAGCAAGATGATCTATGCGAGCTCCAAAGACAGGTTCAAGAGGGAGCTCGATGGGATTCAGGTAGAGTTGCAGGCAACTGATCCAACTGAGATGGGGCTTGACGTGTTCAAGAGCCGTGCTAACTGAATGGTGTAATGCATTCCATCTTTATCAACCAACAGCGACTTCCTCCATTCCAAGGCTTGCGATGTTAATAGTTCGGTGGTGAACTATAGAAAATTATTATACTATGTTCTCTTTTTGTTTTTTCAGTGTCCTTTCTTATTCTTCTGCAGTCATGAATATGGTTTCGCGTATATTTGGCGAATTACGATTTTATATAGTACCTATGTTATGTGTGTCTGGATTGTAGTAGTCCTTGTGACTGCAAGCTACATAATCTGTAATTGCTGTTTGTGGAAGGGGTTAGACGAGGCAACCTTTTTTCAGTCGTTCTTGTAAGGGTTAATACCTTAGTTTGGCCCGAATTATACACAAACTTTCTACTTTGGCCCGTGGTTTATGAAATTGCTATTCTGGCATGAACTATGTACTATACTTCATAATTTGGCACGGAGTCGAGTTTGATCGTCAAATTGGACGATCAACAGAGCTAATCGTTAGTCAATGACCAGCTCATCTACCACGTCAGCGATTACAGAATAAAATATTTTATTTTTTGAATTTATTTATTCATTTTCTTTTCTAATAATAATAATAATAATAATGGAAATAAATAAATAATCCCACATTATCCTCTCCCCTCTCACCTTATCCTCTCACATTTACTTAACCGGAAAAAAATATTCCACACCAGACCAAACCCATCTTTCCCGATTCCTCCTTCCCCGATGATTCTCCTTCTCGAAGCTCCGGCAAAAATGCAGCGGCGGTCGTCGGCCGGTCGGTTGAACACGCCGCCGTCGCCGTGTCACCGCGCTCCTCCTTCCCCGACTCCTCCTTCCTCCTCGAGTCCGCCATCACCGTATTCGTTTCCAAACTCCTACAAACAAAATCACAACTTCCCTTTTCTTCTCCGCAGACGCTTCTTCTCTCTTTATTTTCCTTATCCCCCCTCCCTCGTTCGATCTCTCTCTCCAACTCTATCAGCGAAGCTAATCATGGCTACCACATCTAGATGGATTCTCCCCGAGGTGTAGGCTCTACCTCTCTCTCTCTCTCTCCCGCTCTCGTTACTTGTTTTTCCCTCTCGATTGCTCTGTTTGGCTGCCGCTATAACTGATTTCTGGAAGGAAAAAATCCCGAAGGGTTGCGTAGGGAAATAGCTAGGGTTTTCTTGTTTCCATAGATCTAATTAAGAAATCATGTTTTTCCCCAGTTTCTTTTGGTGTTCCCTCTGATTGCGATTATTTGTGGGGCGGTAGGGATTTACGGGATGCAGCTACTCAAAAGGGCGGGGATAAATTTGGGTTAAAAAATGTTAATTATTATTATTATTAGAAAAGTAATCGAATACATAAATTCCAAAAATAAAATTTTTTATTTTATGCTCGCTGACGTGGCAGATGAGCTGGTCATGGACTAACGGTCAAATCCGGCTCCGGGCCAAGTTAGGAAGTATGGTACATAATTTAGGCCAGGATAACAATTTCGAAAACCACAAATCAAAGTAGAAAGTTTGTGTATACTTCGGACCAAACTAAGGTATTAAGTATTAACCCTTCTTGTAAAGTTGAAAGTGATCAATAGACATCTGTCCCAGCCGGCACGTGGATTCCCATCGTATCCTATAATTGCAAATGGGCTTTTGTTAGTGTACCCAGTTTTGGCCGTTTGTCCAGTTGAATGAGTTAACGAAGGGTTAATCGTCGGATTAATTTAATACATTTTCACTAATGATAGCAATGTGGTGGGTTTGTCTAAATCATTCACATTTCTGCTTTCACATATCTAAACTCGTACTTGTCTCATACCCATGCAAGGGAAGATTTTGCAAACTCATCCTCGTACTCGTGGGTTTCGGGTACCCATGGGTAATACGCACTACGTACATCCTACATCATATACTTAAGATTTTACATGTAAATTATTAATTATAAAGCTAAACATACCTACTATATCATGAAGTCAACAAATATACAATCATTCTTAATATGGTCAAATCATATGATCCTAAAACATCTATTAATCAATAAGATAGAGTACAATATTTTCCAAATCATTAGTTTCTAACTCTGATACATCTACTTAGTAATAATTAACTAACATAATTATCTTGTTAATAAGAGGAAAAAGTGAAAGAATGAATGGAGAATTGAAGGACATGAATTATATTTGGATTTGGGTTGCCACTCAACTTCATTATCATTGATAGTTTACAATTTTTGATGAACTATAACAGTTGGTTCTCATTTTAAGATTAAATGAATTTTATGGTTGGAATTAGAGTATTAGAGATTGAGGTTATCCATTAAAGTTAGGATTTAATACTAGGGGAATGCTATTTGCCGCCAACCTTTTTTTTTTTTTTTTGAATATATGTACATTTTTGGTAAATGAGTTTCACAACCTACAACATATCAAACTTTTAAAAAACGTATTGAATCAGAAAAAATCGACGCTTGCTGGTAAACTCACCGGAAAATCATCGCGAAAGCCGAACCTCGACGTAAACTGCGCACACGCATCCATGAATCATCACTAAGCAGGTGCGTCAATTTTTTGTAGTTTCGAACAATTTTTCCAACGATTTCCAATGGACAGACGGCGGGCCAAAAATTTTTTGCGGCCGGAACACGACCGGGCCAAAAGAATCCGGCGGTAGGAACCAGGCCGGGCCGACGAAAAACGGTGTCGCCGAAATTTTTCCGCCCACAGTCTCTTTGGAATTTTTTGGAATAATTGGATTTTAGGAGTTGAATTTAGCGTGTAAGAATTGAATTTAGAGTTTGGGAGTTGAATTTAGCGGTTAAGACTTGAAATTAGCGTTTAGGTTCACAGGAATATTGATGTGTTGTATTATAATTGTAGGAAAAATGTCAGAGTGGTTTCCGGCCGATCGTGATTACACACAGGTGTTTGAGAATGGGATCCACTATGCAAGTGTAGAGTTAGCTGAGAATGCTGCAAAAGCAATCGCTTAGGAGTGTGGGTTCTTTATTATTAGAGGAGCATGGAAACCGACTACTGAAGCACAGCATCCTGTTATTGCCCTCGGTATGTTTTGCGACAGAAACAGTAGGATCGTTAAGTATTATAAACCAGAACCTACGAAGGAGAGGCGTGAAAATACTAGTTCAAAGGGTACTGGTTGCCAGTTTCAGATATGTATTAAGGAAGTATGGCAAGAGCATGGTCCAAACACATGGGTCATAGTAGGAGTGACAAATCGTGTAAACGGAGCTAATAGAGGGTTTCACAACCATGAAAAAGTGTTGAATCCAAATCATCACTGGCACAACAAACAGTTTAGTGAGGCTGAAAAAGAGAGGTTAAGATTAATGAGGAAGGCGGGGGTGAGACAAAATCAGCAGAAGACGACACTCAATACTGAAGGGGGTGTGCATCATGATCAAACAAATGTACAACAGAAATTACAAGGCAAGATTGGATGAGATGGGTGAAATGGATGCAATACAATTTGCGCTTCACGGAGCTGAACAACGTGGTTACCTTATCTGTTTGGAAAAGGACGCTAATAATGTGTTCACCAATTTGTTTTTTGCCCACCCGGCGTCCATTCAGATGTTGCATGCATGGTCGTACGTCATCCTCATTGACTCGACCTACAAGACGAACATGTACAACATGCCATGAGTTGAGATTATTGGGGTTACTCCAGTCAAGAAGAATTTCAACATTGCATGTGCAATTATTAAGCAGGAAACAAGGGAAACATATGACTAGCTGTTGCGATGTATTAAAGGGTTGCTTGGTAATACGGTTCCAAATGTCATTTTGACAGACAAAGAAGGTGGTCTCCTTGTTTCTGTTCCTGTGGTCTTCCTTCTCCCACATATTGTCCACCTACTATATTTATGGCATGTCAACAACTGTGTGAAGAAAAGGTTTGAGCAATTACTGGGTGGAATTTCCCAAAGAGAGGTAGCAGAGGCGGTATGGAAAAAATATTTCTACAAAGCTGCATGGGACGAGGGACGGTTTTTTTCGAAGGATTAATGAGTTTGAGAGGTCCTGAATAGTGAAGAACAGAGCTATGGTCCACTACGTGCTAGGTGAGTGGTTGCCTCATCCGACAATGTGGGCAAAGTGCTACACAAACCATGTGTACCATCTGTCGGTATCCAAACTGTCGGAGGCAACATGCTGGATCGTAGAACTTGCCTATATCAGCGAACCGGATCACTCCAGTGTACAAAGAGCGACACACTGCCTTATGAGGTCTCTGATGGAAAGGTGTCTAAAACACATCAGAAGGGGTCAAGTTGTCAAGAGCTCGACGGTAGAACGCCAACCTCACACTAGGATCAGACACAGAACCAAGTGTCGGCTGCCCAATCCATCGTGAAGCCTAAGCCTCATCAGGTCCAACGAAGGGTGGCTCGAAGTGAGATGGCCTAAAACTCAGAAAGTACTCGTAGATCCAACACTCCAGAAGTGTGAGACAACCAGCCACCCCCTAGCACCAGTTCGAGACGCCTGACCAAGTTGTCTCTACAACCAAGCAAGTGTACCTGACGCCCAATTGTACTAATCTACTTCCTACAACTCGTCCACAAACAAAGTGGACCCCAACAGCAACAACAAGTACAACTGCGCCTCTGTCACATATGTCCCGTTCGCCTTCAAGTATCTGTACGCCATCTCCGCAAGCAAACCACCCTTGTCGTACCACTTACCCCTACTACCATGTTCAGGGGCCTCCGACCAACCACTTAGCTTCTCCGAGTTCATCCCAAGAAGCGCACATAACACCTTCGGATGGTTACACTGCTTGGAAGTCCTACTCATCAGCAGTCCCTCAACATGAATCTGTAGTAAGTACTGAACATCGTAAAGGAGGATCGTCATCTTTACAAAAGACAAGTGGAAGGTGTTCGTGTCGGGCTGCCACCTCTCCACAAAAGCTGAGATCAAAGCTTCGTTAATCGATATCTTGCGGAACATAGAGTAGATCAGTTGCTGGAGACCTGACTGCTGAACTAGATCCTCCACCTCAACATGCC